TGTCTCTTCAATTTTGGGTACAATATTCGCCTTGAGGTAAAATCGAAAAGTAGCGCTATTTTGAGATTTGAAGCATTGCGTTGAAAAGTTTCGCAGTCTAAGTTGTCTATCATGTGAACTATCAAAGCATTCCGTTTTGGATGGTTATTGAATGTTAGAGTTACTGTGATTGTATGAGTTTGCTGAAATCTTCACCTCATGAGATGAAATAGCCGAAGCAAATAGTCCCATCCATCCATTATCTTTGGTAGGATATAAAGCAAGCAGTTAACTCGCTCAATCAATGTGATTCTCCTTACTAGTGGATTGTCAATATCAACGCTGACATTTGCCAAGAAACATAAATAAAGCCACAACGCCGCAATATTGGAAAGTGTTCAGCTTTTGATACCTAGGATCACAAGCAACATATAAAGTCTCTGTGATGCTTACTGAAGATGTCTGCATTTACCATCGAAGTCAATGACTGAACTAGCCTTTCCCAGTACCTACTACAGTAATCTCACCATGCTCTGCACCTCTTGCCAAAACATCTCATTCGTTCCCTTGCAGCAGACTGGCGTTACTTTCCAAAAAGAAGCGACTGAAGAAATACGAGCCGCGTACTCTAGCCATCGATTCTTCTTTCATGATAAGCGTCGTTTATTAGAATGGGACGACTTTCGACCCGACTGCCAGCTTTGCAAATTAATGACTGCTCGACTACGTTGCAATGTGAATAGATCCTCGAGTGATGAATTATCTGCTGCTTTGGATTTAATGGTCTTGGATGGAAAAGATTACTTGTTGTGGAACTCGATCTTTAAGCGGACGCGAGTGATATTAACACAGAAAGGAGAATTTTCAAAATCGAGTGACGGTCGTAATTTTGTGAAGATTAACGATGGAACCAATTGGTCGGGGTCTTTTAACATCCACTTTGGTGATTTATCGGTGGAGATGGATTTGAATACACTTTTCGGTTGGTAATACCTTGCTTCTAATATTGTTCCTCGACTTATTTCCATAGGCGAATTACCTAGGGTCTTTTCCAAATCTTCCTTTTTAAGCTTTCCGGATCAGCGATTTGAAGACGGTGCTGATGGATTCGATGCATCTATGAAATTGGCAAGTACATGGATGATCGATTGTTTTAACCACAAGGTTTGCCGAGAAACTATAGGGACGCTCCCTACTCGTGTCATATATATCGACGAGAATCCCAGTATTGCGCCGCGTCTCGTAGAACCAAAAGGGCAGATCGTTCCCTATGCTACTTTGAGTTATTGTTGGGGCAAAAAGGGTCAATTGCAATTAAAGAAAGCAAATCATCTTCAGTTTTTGAACGCTCTTCCTGTTCAAATGCTTTCCAAGACGACTCAAGACGCAATTAGAGTTACTCGAGCACTATCAATCAAATATCTTTGGGTAGATGCTCTGTGTATTATCCAAGATTCAGCCGAAGACAAATCCAGAGAGCTCGCTGTAATGGGAGACATTTACTCTCGGTCCGTCATTACAATTGGTGCTGCCAATGGCGACCGTGCAGATGCAGGACTTTTTGCGAAGCGCGACCCACACCAGCAGCGACCCTCCCTCGTCTATGAAATAGAACACGATGGTTCTAATACTCAGATATTTGCACAACTTCCTCGAGACGACGAACAGGGCACGATTCTGGACAGTCGTGGGTGGATTTTCCAGGAAGAAGTGCTTTCAGCTCGGACTCTCAAGTTTTGTCCGGATGGTCTTCGCTGGTCTTGTGTTACTTTATGCGCCACAGAAACTACACCGAATGGCAATTCGCATCCATTCAATAGGCTCGATTATAGGCTTAAAACTTGGCTTCATTGTCCAGAATGGAAGCCACGGTGTATTAATACCTTGGATCCGAAGAGACGATATTTTCAAGACTGGTATGAAGCTGTATCGAGCTTCACTGTTCGGAATTTGACATATCACACAGACAAGCTACCTGCACTTTCTGGTATTGCAACTCAAATCCATAATATTCACAAGTATGACTATCTGGCTGGTCTATGGAAGCAAGACCTAGAGTATGGCTTGCTATGGTATGTCGCCTCTCAGCCCAAGATAGGTAGTGGAAAGTATGAATTCCCGTCTTTGTTGGGCGAAGAATACTATACTTTTGTTCCGAAGAAAGGTAGAAACATACCAAAAGCCGCCTCATCTGTAGCAGAAGGGATGAGTCAACTTTCGATAGGCAACATTGAAACACACACACCCTTCTTGAGGAATGTGCCTATTAGTTCATCGAGAACAGCCCAAAGGCTGAAAGCGGCACTCCCAAATCTTCGAGAACGAGATGAATTCAAAGCCAAGTCGCCATCATGGTCATGGGCCTCTCTGGAGTATGAGAAGATCAATTTTCTGTACAGTCACTCGGGATTGAAACCATCCGGAGGTCCGCTAAGTCACTGTCTCGAAGTTGACTGCTCGCTTCCAGACAAAGGGAATGAATTTACACAAACATTGCCCGGCCATATGATTCTGATAGGCCACTTGAAGCGAGCTCAAGTACACTTTAATAACTACGGCTACAATACCCAGTACCTCGCACCCAACGTGTCTGCGGGTCGCTGGCCGGGAACCCTGGTACAACTGAAGGCCAACGCTTCTGGCGAAGGCGAGATAATTGGTTTCGTCGCGTTAGACTCGAACCCAGTAGCTAGCGGCCTAAGGGTAAACAGTTTGGCTATTTTATTAATGCGAGAAGAAGACAAAGATTCTTCGAATGTGAGAATGGCAAAGAACGGTAAATTGGGTTATTATAGTTCAAGTAAGGTTCCGTTGACGCTCGCTCGTCTGCGTAGTGGCAATATTTCAATGAATCGTGGAACCAAACGATATCTGACGGGCTTAGCGCTTCAGCAAGTGTTGGATGTCAATACCTTGACCATCTTCCGGAGGGTTGGATTGTGTCAATTGTACAGGGAATTTTGGATGGATGAGCTGAAGAAAGATTCGAGCAAGCAAAAAATGAATCTTATGGTTGTTCAGGTGTCGATTTGACCTACCCAGGTTTACTACTGTTGTCTGGCATTAAATCTTGCCAAAATTGCATTTGAACGAGCTTCAAAGTATTGGGCATACAGAGAGAAGCTAGAGCGGAGGGAGAAGCTCACCACATGATATACTTCGAACTCCATTTTGATTCTTGTATTGGCCCACTTATCTGCGAATTCCAGTTGCAGGCTTTAGAAAGGCTACATTTTGACAAGCGATAAAAAATTGCCTTTCTACTTGAGTAAAATGTGACTCTCATTTGACGAGGGGGACCAAAACAAGAATCCCATAATCGCCTGATATCTCTGAAAGTACGAATGTGAAGGTAATATGTCTATTAATCAAGGGAAAAGCTCGCTAACCACCTATATCAGTGTTATTTATCATTCTAAAGCTCTCCGCTCCACTTCTCCTCATAGATTCACAAAGAACTCAAGGTCTCGACTTCACCCCATGTTCTGTGGCAGTGCGGACCTCAACATTTCCATCCTCCATACCGAAATATGCAGCCACTGGCTTCTGTCCACCACCCTCTTCTCCGGCATTTGCAACCTGAGCGCCATTTCTTCCATGGAAGAGACCAGTTTCCAGTACACCCACTATTCTCTTTAATCTTCTTCCAAGTGTGTGTACCTCCCAAGTGCCGTTTTCTCCATCCCCCTTATCATTGCCCTTCAAATCTGAATGAATTAGAAGTTTTGGGAAAGGCGCGTCGATGATCCACATGCCGTTATCTGTAACTACCGGTCCAGCTTTCGCGCTTCCACCTTGTCTGATTTTCGGATCCGGAGAGCCCAGCGTAATTAGAATTCTTTTAATGGTTGGAGCGGCTAATGGTGCAATCTCGATTGGAATGGCTTTCCAAGAAGTGAGGAGACGAGGTTGGAGCTTTCGATAATCTACGCATTGTTAGTTTGAGTCAAAGTCGCAAACGTATTACCCAAATGCTTCACTGACCTGCTACACATACAAACTTCTTGGAAGAAGTTGCGACCAACTTTTCTTGGAAAAGACAAGCTCCGCCTCCTTTTATACAGTTGAGATCTTCGTCAATTTCGTCTGCTCCATCGAATGCAACATCAAGACTTTCACGCTTTCCCTTCAAACCTAGATCTTGCAGACCCGTAGAAACATCGAAAGCAGCATCTCCACTCAGATGAAGAGGCTCCACAACTACAGGAGGCAAAGAATCAATGCTTCCCAAAGGCAGACCTGCTTCGATAATCAACTGTTTACTTTGATCGCCAGTGGGAACAAAGATCATCTTTGAGGTGATATCTCGACCTTTAGCAGCGATAGCTTCCACTACGTAAACGACAGTACTACCCGATCCAATTCCAATGTATTTGTAAGAAGGATCGAAGTGATCCTCGACTGCTTTGTATGCTGCTCGACGCTTCGAGGCTTCTACTGGAGAAAGGTTTGCGTAATCATAAGTATGAGGGGTAGCATTTTCGGCAGCTGGAACTATCGGATTTGAGGATGCCGCGGATTGACCAGGAACAGCTGGATTATTGGAAGCCATTGATTTCGTATATTGCTGCTTAGATATGCTCGAAAAATCCCTTCTAGATATATTCAAGAATCGTGGAAATATGGGATATATACTGCGGGAATGAACCGTAGTGGGACAAACGCTTGTGAATGAACGATGTACGGAGATTGTAGAGGTCTTGAGTCCAGCTGAATGTATAATCGAATGAGACAATGTGTGAGAGCGAAAGAGTCGGAAAGCAAGATTGCGAGGATATATTTCCATCAAAACTCGGGTTAGGAAATGTCAGATCTTATTTTGGAACTTAAATGGAGTGATGAAATAATAATAATTTTATTGCGTGCCCAAATTGGTGGGGTTAGCTTAGCCAAGTGGAATGGCCCGACTAGATTTTTGGATAAATTCATGCGACATTGCTGAATAAGATGACGCTCCGATCCGGATGGATGTTTGTTCGGAGTGAAGCTTCGGTGAATACAGCCTTGAGGAGTTTCTTCGGAGTGAGCGGACGCTAAGATAAGAGCTCAACTGTTCGCACGTGCCGATAAGAGCAACAATTCTTAGATAAGCAAGGCTTCTGCTACAGTTCAGTGTTGGTTGATTAGATCTACCTCATCATATCTACCATATACACTCATACACTTTCAGGATATTTAAGGAAGTTATTGACTGTTACCTTTATAGATCCGATACTCTACACACTCCATCTTTCTCATTTGTGCCTGTAAACAATGGCGGAGACAATCATGGACCAGAATCCTCCTGTCCTTCAAGGCCCTTCCGACAAGGAGAAGAAATATGATCGACAACTACGATTATGGGCAGCTTCTGGACAGGCAGCCCTTGAGAATGCCAACTTATTATTATTGAACTCTGGTTCTGGCACAGTTGGTGTTGAGACTTTGAAAAATTTAGTGCTTCCAGGTATGTGACAAGCCGATGGGATATGCATAGTCAACTAACGGCAATAGGCATTGGAAAATTTACAATTGCGGACGAAGAACTCGTAAATGAGGCTGATTTGGGTGTCAATTTCTTCCTTGATGAAGAGAGTTTGGGGAAATCAAGGGCGGAACAATGTGTGAAACTTTTACAAGAGCTCAATCCAGATGTGAAGGGGGACTGGTTTCCAAAACTCAAGGTAAACCTGCGAGTCTACTTGTTTACCATTAAACTTGCTAACGAAATACATGCAGGACGATAAATTAGACCAACTGTTTACGGAAGATCATAAAGAAAAATATACATTAATTATATATTCATTCCCAATCGATCCCAGAATCCTCGCTCTTGCAGGGAAATACAGCGCATCCCACAAAGTGCCTCTCGTCAGCATACACTCCGCAGGCTTTTACTCATATTTCAAAACGCATCTACCAGGAAACTTTCCTATAGTTGATACTCACCCAGATTCAACCGCAACCACAGATTTACGACTTTTAAAGCCATGGCCAGAACTTTCGAATTTCGCAGCAGATCTGACTAAAGACATCGACACTCTTAGTGACCATGAGCATGGTCATATACCTTACTTGGTCCTGCTCTTGAAATTTTTGGCAAAATGGAAAGAAGATAATGGCTCATATCCGACCTCCTACAAAGACAAAGCAGCGTTCAGGACGACTGTTACGAATGGCACAAGGAGAAATAATGCCGAGGGTGGAGAGGAGAACTTCGATGAAGCTGTTGCGGCTGTGATGAAGAACATATCCGTACAAGATCTGAAAAGTTCCGTGAAGGAAGTCTTCGAATATTCACCAACCGAGGTATGATGAAGATGACCCACGGGAGCGAGTGCAATGCTAACTAGCTTGACTTTAGGCAGAATCTAACTCGGATTTTTGGATTATTGCTGATGCCGTGAAGAAGTTTTATGAGAAGCATAATGAGCTCCCGCTTCCGGGATCAGTCCCAGACATGAAGGCTCAATCTAGTACATACGTACAACTTCAAAACATTTATAAAGCAAAAGCTCGACAAGACGTCCAAGAAATACTAGAGACTGTGCGGGCACATGCACGTGGTAATGAGATTAAGACAGAAGAAGTAGAGGTGTTCTGCAAGAATGCCGCTTTCATCAAGCTTATCCGAGGCTCGGATCCGACAACAGATTTACAGAAGATAGCAAGTATGTTCACCTTGTATAATCCCTGTTCGAGAATTCGCAATTAATGTTCTGATAGATTTGGAATCTGAAAATGATGCAAACGCTTCCTTCACGATGGCGCCATTATCGAACTTCCCCATTTACTTAGCTCTTCACGCAACTGCTCATGTAGCAGCAGCTACTTCATCTGAGATATTAGCCCAGATCGACAAAGAAGTACCGAATGTGTCCTCTAATCCACGTGTCCAGAAAGTTGCAGAAGAAGTATCACGAGCCAAAGGAGGTGAATTACACAACATTTCTTCGTTAACTGGGGGTATGGTTGCACAAGAAATCATCAAAATTATCACGAAACAATATGTACCGATCGACAACACATGCATATTTGATGGTATCACGAGTAGGGCGCAAGTTTTGAGGATCTAATCGGATAAAGCCTACCTAATCTAAGGCTAGCGAATAGGGGTGTTTCGCGAAAGGTTATAAGAGCATATGATCCGGGAATGGGAATATCATGCATATCGAGATGTGGAGGCATGGATAAGATTAACGAAGATTTGCGAGTGTCATCGGGCCATGGCTAAGCAATAATGATATCACGATCAGTAAAATAACTTATCAATTCACACTGACATTTTCGAGATTTTCAAAGAGAGGCGTTTCAAAGGCGTGATAACCTTACATTCAAATCACGCGGATCAAAATAAACCCAAAAATTTGATATCTTGAAAGTCGCACCGCATTCATGCATGCAGAAGATCATGAGATAAGCATGAAGTGCATTTCTGTTGCAATACAAGGCGGTTCTTTTTGGTGATACATCTGCTGTGCAGTTCTAACACAGTTAGTACGACATTTCCGCATTCGCTTGCTAGCTTGCTGGCTTGCTTACCTGACTTTATGGTCTACTTACATACATAGTCTTAGTCAAAACGTGTTACACGACAGAATTTTTCAGAACACCACTTCACTGTTGGCAGAGGGGGACGTAGGATCATATGTGAGATGGTCCTGAATTCTCCGTAGACGTGGGGTTCGGATGCAACGGGGAGGGAAAATTTGGTAGCGAGGATGGGTCGATAGTGTTTTGTGTGAGGGTGTGGATGGGGATGGGGATGTGGATGTGGGAGAATTGGCGGGCTGGAATATCGGATGAGGTGGGGGATCTTCATTGGGGTTGTGCAGATGAGTTGTAAGGGAGGCTTGGATTTTGGAATGCGATGGACTGGGATGGGCTGGGATTATTTCGTTGCTGTGAGTGCGGGGAAGCCAGGAGAATCATAGGTGAGAGTACTGAGGAATGAATTTGAATTGGAGGAGAGGAGAGGAGAGAAAAGGAAAAGAATTTGGAGTTTCGGCCCGAGACTCCGTGTGATATTCATCTTTTACTTAGTGAGTAATATCGTAGAGGCGAATGTTTAATGTAAATTACCTAGTAGGTCTTTTTATCAAAATATTGCCTAGGTAGATTTCCCCGCATTCGCAATGCCGAAATTGTAGAAGTATGAATACAAATCAACGCATAAGATTTGAGGACCAAATCATTTCATTAAATACGTGTGATTTGGCTTTTAACCTTCGAATGCTGATTCTGAATGTTGACATTAGTTCGCTAATAATAAATTGTGTTACCCCTCACTCTCACAATATCTTGGGAGCTGAATATAAACTGTCGATGTTACTATTCGGGAACGATGAGCGTTAAATTAGCTGTGGGTTTAGATATTTCTGCAACCTTTTTTCGATCCAGATAACCCGAGTTTAGCGGGGTGTGATGCATGGAAGCGAAAGTAACTGTGGCTTCTAGGTATGCAGATTTGCAGGCCGAGGTACATTCGATACTAGTTTTTAAGATCAAGAATGGGGGTGCTGAAAAAATTTGAGGTTCTTCATTTCGATAATTGGATTTTGCATGTCTGTATGTGCCTGAAAATCGTGTTGTCAAATAATATATTGCTATAGTGGTATCATATCATATAAAAAAGCGTAACTTCATAGCCCATACGCAAACAAAGATGCAACTTCCATCCGCAGCTAATCATAACTTATCAAGTTTTCTCGCTACCCTAGATAAAATGCCCAAATGACCTCCCATGATGATGAGACCAGCTCTTGTGTAGACGGTAGAATGTCCTACTTCAATCACAAGCCTATCAATCATTGATGAATGATATAAGGCCCTTCGAATTGTGCCATGCCTGAATCATCATACTGCATTGGCAAACCATCATAGGGCATATCCAATCCATCCGGCAAATTTCCCCATAACATGCCGTCCAGATCCCATATTCCTCCGTTATCAAGCATCATTAATTGTTCTTCTCCCATAATCTCAACCTGCTGCAACATATCACTATCCATATAATGTCTCCCATCTATTCCCCCCATTCGATGCATATCATCTGTCATGTGGCTCAACCCCGGACTCGGTTGTCTAGTCAGAGGTCGCTTACTGACTTCATAGACCTTGCTCACCACTTCCCTACTTCGTCTAGCAGCCAAGGACCAATCCGCCATACCATCAAACGCTTCGAGCACAACTTCAATCTGGGATTGCCAAATCCGAACAAGATTCGTGTTCCATGATTCCCAGAATATACTGACAAGTGGAATCATGGATGCTTGATACATGAACCACACACCATTCCATCCCAACATTTGGTTCGGAGTCCATTCACGTGCTATATCTTCTATGGTTTCTTGGGCAATTGTACGACATGTTCGCACGGCTGCAAGTTCTTCCTTGGTGGGTGATATTCCTTGATTTCCTCTATTGGCAAGATTCAGAAGAACAGGTCTGTAAAGTACCATGCGAAGATTCTGGTATCTCCATTTCATGACGCTTCGAGCAGTATGAATTGATTCTGGACAAGGTTCCGTAGAGCGTAAGATCCAAGGAAGATTATCATACCATTCTACGAGCTGTCTGTCGAGATTTGCTAGGTCGTCAGCTCGGAGAAGTGGGGTTTGGGCAAGAGCGTCCTGAATTTGTGTGGCAACTTTACAAAATTTGATATTCTCTATTAGGGGAGTAATATTCATATCTTGATTCTAGAATAACGTTAGCTACGAACAAGTAACTTGGAAAGGGTTTACAAACAGTACTCATTGATGATTCGGGAGACTGCATGGTAATCGCAGAGCCCCAGCGACCCATAGAAGGTCTTCCTAATGTCGTAGACGCCCATGTATCAAGACAGAATAAACTCCACCACGTTCTTCTTCTCTGTTCTGCAATCAGGTTGCTCTCGACGCTATTCTCATGCATACTTTCACGATGTAACCCCATTGCACAAGCCATTCTCAAAGCAGCTCCACAGATAGCATTGGCAGTATTTGGACGATTGATGTAGTGAAGATAAAAACCTCCCATCAATGACAGAGCTTGTAATGTTTCCAAATGCCCGCTACCAAAAGAATCAATTCCTAGGTGGTCTTTCGCTTGGTTGTAGTAATTGATATGGTTATGATCGTCTGATTTGCTTGCGACAATACTTCCCATTGCAAATACCATGTTTAATAGACCAAGCCATGGCGCATCTTGACGTCGCCCACTCAAAAAGTCAGCTCTAAACGTGGGTTCATCAAGCATTGGTACGAATATTTGTACTCTGTTGAAGTATGCATCAATAAGAGTCTGGCCGTTAGATGACCATGAGATCGCTTGTAAATTTTTGGCAGAACTTCCTGGTCGTGGTGTGGGATAGTTGCTACTTGCTGAGATTTGCTTGTTGTTAGAAGGTGCCAAGAAGAGAGATCGTAGTCTCGGTGCTACCTTGAGCATAACCAAAAGTGCGGCTTTAATTGAAGTCGCACCTAAGTACGACGACTGTCTATCAACTGAGAGAGACAAAGCATTGACATCATCCGCCTCTGTGGGTATTGGATCTCTATTTCTTCTTTCTTCGTCCCATTCAATATCTTGATTTGGTATCTGTTCAAGATTTGCAAGACTTCTATCTTCGTCCGACCCAGAGTTCAAGGGCGACCTATATTCCTGTGATGTTGGAGAGGTATTTGAAGCAGAGGGGGATGTATTCGAGAGCGCACTTCGCGGGGACCGATCGATGAGGGCAACGAGTTCATTTCGCGACAACGGCAACAATTGTTGCACTTCTTGATCAGGAAAAAGTCGTCGTAAAACGGTACGACATTCGTTTAGGGATTGAGAGAGAGCATCAAGGGTTCTACTTCAATCAGTACTTTAAAGCAGCGTTTGGAATGCACAATCGTACTTTCGAGATGGAATTACCCTCTGTCTATGTTTATCGTAATAACATGGTTTAGGAGAACGACATCCAACACATTGCCCACAAGGCTGTCGGCCGTCGCATCGAATTTTACGACGTTTACATTCTGCACATGCGTGTGGAGTTGTAATTCGTTTGGTTACTCCATTCGTCGCCGGTTTGGGGGTATCTACAATTATTGATTGTTCCGTGCTGCTTAAAGTTTCGCGGGGTGGCGCCAGTCCTTGAACTAATACAACGTTGGAACAATGATCAGCATGGAACTTTCTTACTCCACTCGGTAATTCTGATGTCTTCTTTTCGAATATATACTTACAAGTATGAAACATCTTTGTTGAACCAATTGATGAAGGCATGAAAATGGGTGCCGAAGGCCGAAGGACAATATCCGACCCACCTCGATAGAATTCGGTCTGGATTGGATTGGGGTCTGGAATAAGTTGCGAATTGATTACAGCAAGTGCAGCTTTATCAACTCAATATGAAATATGACAAAATACGTCGATAATAGTATCTTCTTGGCCTCTGAGCTGAGAAATTGCATGTGCGTGAGTTGATGGTAAGACGTTCAAGGACGCTGGAGGTACGGGGAATGACTGCAGTGTTTCCGGCAAACTTCAATTCGTAGAATACTGGCAAACCAACGGTCACGGATGAAGGCGCCGACGTCGTTTTCGGGGGAGAGCTGACATTCGCTGACGGCAGCAGGACTCTTCTTTTGGCCAAAATCCTTGATATATTGGATATATTGCAATATTGTATCCACGACGGTGTAGTTGTGAAACGTTGAAAGCTTCCTGGCGTCGTTTAATGCAACCGTGGGGCTTGTAAGTATTCTGGCCACAACATATATGAATATGCAGATCCTCACGAGGAACATGAGCTGATTTCCTCTTTACTGGATCTCGTGCTTGGAAGGTACTCCAAGTTCCAAACCTCTTCGTGCATTGACAGGGAAATGAGAATTGGGATAGTCGTTGTAGGATACTCAATTAGGTCTTAATGAAAAATCATATGCTTGGGTTCTATGTCAGATTGACATTTTCTGTTGGTGTTCAGCAATAAGTCTTTGTAGATCTGTTGGACACGAGGATTGATGATCCCTCCAGTTTTGTATCCTAGCTTTGAGGATCGAAGACTATATCAGACCTTTCAGACCTGTCGTACCACGGGGAAAGTACTCTACTTGCCAAAATTTCATCTGATCTCTCTTTTTTCCGCCTCCACGATCCCATTTTCCCCAAGCGATTTCCCCACACAGTTCCTGTACTACGCTTGGCCAATTAACACGTCGAAAAGCAAGCAAAACACAGTAGTCCCAATCTCGGATAGGCGGAGAAAACTTGGGGAAGTTGATTGGGGACAAGAATGGGGGTGGGTGGGTAAGTTGACTAGGATCTATCTGAATTTCGGAAAATCTATTAGGCGATTCTATTTACCTCGAAGTCTGGAACCATATATTTCAATACACATCCTCATATCAAAAGACTCTTTTCTTTCGACCCAAAGTCTAATCCCTTGTACTTCTTGATGAGTAGATCACGGCAGGAAAAGGGGCAACACAATGATGAATCCACATATCAAGCAACCTCCCACACCAAAATTAAGTCCAAGAGCTGCAAAAATCATCTCAACACGTGTCAGAAATCCTCGCTGTGGATTTCTCGTCTCCAAACTTTCACTGCGCCAGAGCTCCGGACTCTGCACTCCGTAGAATGGCTTGTTGGCTTACCTACCACAACTTAAATACTTCTCAGCAACGACTCAAATCATTTATGGTAGGTTCAGACGCAATCCCATATTTGATCACGTACGAAGAGTCTGCATCTCATGCAATACACAATGTTTTTCTAAGATTTTCTTAGACAATCCGGGACCCTGGAAGAGGTAAGCCAAGACCAATTATCTCAAGGACGTTGCAGCCTTCCTGCAGTAATTCGCCGAATCTACAACCTGCAGTTGCGGCAGCGCGACGAGCTAAAAACATATAAAATTATCGAACTTCAGCTATGATTCTCAACGGCACAAAGCCGCTCCCTGGCTGCACACCCTTTCCGCGGCGTATCAAGCATGACATATTCGTCCTTGAAGCTTACATTTTGTCTTCGCCGATGATCCAGCATCCAAGAGTTTTCCTTTACACACAACGGCCGGAAGAACCATTCGGAGATCCCAAGACTATCATTGTCACGTTCTCCAACTTGATTGCCGAGAAGATTTCCTAATCAAGACTTACGAGCAGCAGATACCCGGTCCATTTATGTTCCCTCCCGTGACATGGGTAAGGATATACTTTCGCGAAACGTGGGGTGATTACCAGTAGGCATTGAAATCCGGTCTTTCAAAATCTTACACAGGTTCCCCGCCTAGCGATTGCGGGGAAATGTGATGAATTCGAAAAAAAGTCGCAATGTATGTGACTGAAACTTGGATGGTATCCCCGGTACATAGTTGTGAGCCGCGTTCATTATGCCGAACCGATAATTAGTGTAACGGCGGCTGAGTATAGGCACTTCAGCCGAGTCCCGCTGTGAACCGTTATTGGTTGTAGATCTACATGCTGGCGTTCCTTTGAAGAATATATCGTTCGTATTGTGGTATTGCCAGCTCATATATATGTGTGTTGGGGCTCTATAGTTGCGGATTGGGCGCCTGATTATACGAAGGGGCTTAAGTTTTTCCCGAATTGACTTGCTGCACCAGCCGTTGCTACCATCATATTGAATGTATAGTAGCAGTTCAACCATGCATCTTATAGCTGTAAGCGTTGATGCTAGGTCACCCGGTACTCGTCCAGATGGTGAAATACATCGTATGAGTGGAAATAGAAGATGATCGTCGTAAAATCACCAAGTAGACGTCAGAACAGAGACAATTCCTAGCCCTGCATTTGTTGCCACATTCACCCCAGTTCATATGTTCAAGAATGAAGTACCTCTCTCGAAAGGTTTCTTTACTGTGACCCAGCAATGCTGATTGATCTGACACCACTTGGGCTGGTTTCTTACTGGGGTTCATAATGAGATTGGTCATCGTGGACATGTAGGCTGACTGACGCGTTCTAGAAGCAGTGCGTCATCTAAAGTAAGACTGTCGGAGAAAAAGTAAGCTTTACAGCATCAGGGTCGGGGAATTTCTCTGGTTCTGTGCAAGGCGTTTCCGCAAATAGTATCATGAGTGGTGCCTCGTAGGAATATCATTTTCGCTCTCCTGCATAATGCAAAGGTTTTCAATCCAGAGGGTTCTAGATGCTTTGTCGTCAAATAAATACCACTGTTACTAGAGAACTGTCTTCAGTCGTGAATGGGTTCTCCGTCATTGGTCTAGGTAGTGGAATTGATTAAGTGAGTCGGGATTGTCATCAACAAGTCGTGTGGTAAATTTTGTAAAGATGGTCAGATATTGGTACAGAACTACACTCTCTACGTGGTTAGTTGATGGTCTTGATGGGCCGCAAGACTTTGTAAAGGCTTGCAAAGCCTTTTCCGAAGCCATGAGTAGAAAGGTCAAGCAAAAGTCAGCTGAGATCTCGACTCTTCAGTTGGCAGTTCGCTATCTCTTATTTCAAACACCAGAACGAACCGTATACTAAGCTTTCATTGGTAGTAGTCAGGGCTTGGTTCCACTAAAGGCTTGCAGTAATCCGGGAGGGTTATAGTTTGGGCATTCAGGGAACGAATTCACACCCATATTTTGTTGACGAACGTAGTCACGCCACATACCTGCAATTTTGCTCCGCTCGTTTGAATTGCAACTTGTGGTTTCTTGCTGGGAAACAGTACATTCTTCTACATGCTTAGTTCTAACATATCTTAGGAGACATATCCAAGTATTCTAGCGCTCTTATCTGCAGAAATATAAGTTGCAGACAATGAGATGTACAGTTGCAACAAGATTGTGTCTAGAAGTATAAAATATAAAATCATAAGGTTTTGATCACCAACACCAGCTGAGAAGTGACCTAGATCAGATGCCACACGATCTCATTGAAATTTAAGTAGCAGTAGATGAGAGTGAAGATGTTTTTTTAATGACGAATCATTATAATCTCTTTTCGGTGATTTTTTTCACCACCGGCTCCGATCGTAAACTTCGCTCAGCATGGCAGCAATTTCCCAACAGCATTTTGACCATCACTTCAAAACCGGGTGCAGGATTCCGTGAGTATTTGAAATCCGTGAGATGCAAATCTACTTCTCGATGCAAAAATAATCATAGAGAACAAGATCAACAGCTTCCCGCCCATTAAATTAAATAGCTTGCACAATCAGATCCAAGTTCTGGAGATTGTAGCTTGCCATTCGACACAATGATTATAGTTTTCAATAGACCACAGCCGATACGGACAAAGTTCCCAAGGGTCAGACAAGACTAAATTTGCATCACAAATTTGGGAGTGGACCTCAGCAGCTTCTCTCATGTATTGCTAACCAACTTCTTACCGTCTTTCAAAGTTAGGCCTAACGTCATAATAGCACGAACAGACGTCTTGAGTCCGTCGATGACGTCATGTTGGACGACAGATGTCTTCAGGAGTTTAGAACATAAACTACTGGCCTGAAGGAGTCCAATTTTATGGCGTAGAGAAATCATAGACCATGAAGTGTATGGTGATACTGGCAGAGGAAATAATCCATGCTCAATCGCACTCTTTGTCAAAGAGCCAAGTAGCATCGAGTCACAGTCTCGTCTGTAAGATACGACCTCATCATAGTTCAGGAATGATATCTGTGTTGTATCTGAACGACTTCTGCTTGAATAAGGATATGTATCCCTCTGATTTGGATCCTTATACTCGATTTCTGGAATTGTTGTAGCAGTGCAACGATGGTCGGGATTTTGATACATCTTGATGAAATCTTCGAGATATTTGACAGCTTTTCTAATTCCTTCTAGGCGATACATCTCTATTTTGTCTAGGTGGGTTAATAACGCTGACCCTGCAACCTTTTATGCTAGGTAGTCTTACCAGTTACTTGTTTCGGAATTGGTAGATTGTACTTCATTTTTGCCATTGTTGTCACGAGATCACAAGTAGCTTGCCCCTCTATCCAAGTCGAAGCTTGACGGAACTCTGCATCCAGCTCAAACTGCCAAGCTACACAAAGCCAGCGAGTCATATCTTCACTCGTAAAGGCCCAATCCTGCACTGTATTTTTCCAAATGTCATGATATGGACAAACGACTTCCGCGCAACGGTATTTATCTACTAGAATAGCTAATTGCGTGAACAACTCCAAGTTAATCTTTGCCGGGATCAATTTCATACGGCCGTGGATCATATCGATCAATATCTTCATGGCAGCGGGGTCGTCATCTGGAAGTGGAAGCTCAAGTTTTCCCGTTGTCTTTAAGGTAATAGCCTCTCTAAAACCGCCCTGAAGCATTGCTTTAAATACTGGTGAGGCTAGAGACATATGTTTCGAAGATACCAGTATATGGTCGCTGTAAATCGGAAGTGGCTCGTCCTGCGAAGTCTCTGATGTTTCACCATCAAGGGAACGTATCATCTCTGATTCCGTGGAGATGTCATCGTTTGGTGCGTTAGTAGCTTCGGCGTCTACTGAAGAAAAAGAGTCGGATTTTGGGGATTTTGGTACGTTCGGATCCAAGAGGAGGACTAAATCTCCATCGGGGTCGACAATGATATTTGCGCTTGAAGATATTGCCATTGTGCCGTAATTAATTCAGATCTGACAAGTATAATGATCGAATATTAGAAGTCAAAGAAGGTAGTGTTGTGAACGTGTACGTGGTACTTCGAGTCGTTGCGAAGTTGGGGGAAGATGGCGTAATCAGAACCAGCTCTGAAAGATAGATCAGCAATAAATCTCACACTTTTGGAAATTGTGGGAAACTCAGCAGGATTTATGAGGTCTATGGTCCGTGCGCAACGGCACCCACGAGCCACTATCTTGCTAGCTTTGGTTAGCTGGAGCGTATGAAAATAAGAACCTACCGATTTTACCTTGTAGTCCTAGAGTGAATTAGAAATTTAAAAAGGAGTATAACGTAGTTTATCAGAACGTGCACCATATCAGTACGTGCACCACTCATTTTACATACAAAATTCGTCTGTGCATAACCGTACACTTTCTTTATTTATTAATATAATTTAATTTTCTTGAAAAACTTTATAGTTATTTATATAAACAATAAGAATTTCTAATCAATTATTAGAAATTTGATTTAATATAATAGTTATTTTAAAAAAAGTTTTTTTGTAACGAAAATCGTGACAATTTCAATCTTTCTTAAAATATAATTAAAATATTTATATAAAAATTATATTTCTGAATATTTGAATTATAATTTTTATCAAATATTTTCTTCTTTCAAAAAATAATGATTAATTATTAAAATACAAATATTAAAAAAACCCTGATTTTAGTATAATTTTGAAGTGGTGCACGTACTGATATGGTGCACGCACTGATAAACTACGTTAACCAAATGATTAATCATTGAAGGTTTGGAGCTGTCAAATGGTGCCCCTGGCCAATCAAAAAGGTGGTCATTCCACATAAGCACAACATAACATGTATATATTCACATGTCAGAAAGATATGCGGTAGATTTGATATATGCTATTGAGGGGCCTTCATTCTGTATAACGCTGATAGTTCCATCGTTCGAGAACGAGTCATGAACAGTTGGTTGTTTCATGACTAGAATATCCACCCGTCTTTCCCTTTTTCCCCTCATTTTCTACCCGTCTGTAGGCAACAGGCCCCGAATCAATCAATGCAGTATAGTTTTAAAAATCTCCTTTAGACAAAAGCCGGATTGCAGATCTGAAAGAGAAATTGGTGTCCTACGTTACGCTATAATGGAACGACCGCAGTCAATAAACAGAAGACAAGGACAAACTCAAGTCCATGACTGCATTGTATGTGGAAGTTGTCCTCATCCATCTGCCAGGGGCCATATTGCTGTGGAAGATATCTATCGATAGGATCGGAGAAGGCATGAGGAAATTTAGTAAGCACACGTGAGAATCCTACTTGCAATCTTTCAGACTCAATCCAGATGTATTTTCATCTATGGGCTCGATAGATTGATGAATCATTTTCAGGACATCGTGGTCCAATGACTCGTCTTGTACAACTACATTACAGGCAGTCCGGGGCTCTAGTGACTCGATGTCGCCCCTTACTACCGAAAACGGCAGCGAATTATTGAATGGAACTTCTGGAAACGGAAACAGTCCCTTCTCCGTGGCACCTTTTATGAGACTTCCAAGAACCGTTGCATCGCAGGTTTCTCTGTGAGAGATTATGTCCAAGACATGTCGCAAACTGTGGCTGGGACACATTAAAATGTGGCCCTGGTACCTAGATATTGTATCCTTGAGAACTTTGATGAGTTGGCTTACGGCATTCTCACGGCTTTCGTCTATCTTATCTTTGAAACGTGTTAGCGATCGAGAATCCTTCATCTGATTTGCAACCTTACTGATAATTCTTTCCGGGATTGGTAAAGCCAGATCATTCTCCTTCAATATTGCTCCAAGCCCCACACCACTATATCTGATGATCTCCTCCGTCGCATCTCTGAACTCATCATTTAGTCTAAATACCCATGCCACACATATCCAGCAAGCGATATCGTACCAGTCCTGGCTCCACCTACGTGGTTCAAGATGATCGTTGGCAGCCCAAACCTTCGCTACAAACTTGGTTGACTCATGGCATTGATATTTGTCGACCAAGATGGCGATTTTGGTAAGCAAAATTAAATTGGGGAATTTCGAGACTGAGTTGAATCGTCCATGTATAACCTTGACCAACGTGATCATGGCATCCGCATCATCATCTGGAAGTAGTATCTCGGTTCTACCTTTCTCTCTAAGTTCAACAGCCTCGCTGAAATCCCCCGTCAACATAGCCTTGAAGACTGGTGAAGCAAACGACAAATGCTTTGAGGAGACCAGTATTTCAGACCTGGACAGTTGATTACATTCATTCTGCGTTTCGCCAGGGTTGTTGGATGCCTTTGGACTGAGGATGTTTGCATTAGGAACGTCGATGCGGGGGCTTGAAGTGGATGCATCCGATTCGAAAGTGGCACCGGCCCTAGAAGAAGTACCAGATCCCCATCGGGATCAATGATGACAATAGAGCTTGAAGGAGCAGCCATAATTTGGATACCCGTGTCAATCAAGAGACTCTTTGAGAAGAATGGGCTCCTCCAGGTCAGGTCTCGCGATGTTGTCGCAGATGAGTTATCAATTGAAGCTGAAGGGGTTATAAGTTGTTGTTGTTTAAATTCAATTGAGGTTACATTTGTAAAAGAAATTTGGAGATCGGGCACAGTGGTACTTTTGGCGCTAACGAAAGTAATCCAACGCTCAAAAGTGAACGTCAAATGATAAAATGGAGAGCCCAGGGAATCTCCTACAGTAATTGGCCCTTTTAATCAATGAACCATTACCCTTCTATTTTCTTTCATCGAGTTTTCTTCTTTCTGAGAAGCACGAGATTAGTATTCTTACAATTTCTGTATGGCTCTTTGAGGACTCTATGCCATTCTACTGGATTCGCCAGAAAATGACCTACAATCACAATTCATGCAAAACTGAAAGCCATGTATTGTAAATTCAAAGGTACATCTGTGATAATAATGCTTATATGAAAATCTGCATACTCACTTCTCTTCTTTCCAATATCTCAATATGCTTCAATTTTTTAACACTTCCTATCTCTTTATCAATCTTCTAAAACAACATACATTCATAGTTTTATTCAAATTTCATTCTGGAGATATGGTATTTAATGAGCTTTGCTTCGTGTATGAAGATAAAAACCTATAAGAACCTTCTTTACGTTCTATAGTGAGTTAATGAAAGTGGTATAAGTGTGTATAGCTTAGTACTCTTGAGAAGAATTTTGCGAGCTTCTTTATTTAAAGAGCTAAGCTTCTAGAGCAGAGGAAGTATCAGTTTTGCCTTTGAAATTTCATATCAGAAGGAGAAAAGGTTGGAATGTGAGACTGCGATTGTATGGATATCGACGTATCTTGAGTTCAAGCACTGTCGGAATCGGATTAAACTGTGGTGTTTCCAAATCCCGAGTTTAAAATATTGGCCTACCTAGTAATTATCCTCCTTCACGTCTGAACTTCCAGATACCCACTGACTCCGGCTCAATGTTGCATTACGCTGAAGAAATCTCGCTCGCTTTTTCCTGGAGAAACTTACAATTGTAGGATCTAGAGCGACTGTTTGTATTGCGCGCTAGATCTGAGAGATGAAGTTCGGTTAAGGAACAAGCAGTCAATATCTGAATAGCTAGATGTGGGCATTGATGTTTTTGCAAATGAAATTAATGTATCTTCACAGCCTTGAATTGAGATAAGAAAGCCGTGATGAGCGGATTCGTGTGTCATCCATCTACAATCGAGAGCCTTCTTGAAATCTGCCAGGTCTAAGCCCGATAATTTTGCATCTAGCATCTAGTGAGTGCAAGATTCTTGTCAAAACATTACGGCTGTTCATAGGCTTACTTGGCACTTTCTCACAACCAATAGTAACTTTCAACAGCTTTATTTTATCTCTAATAACATCAAAGCTCGAGTTCATCTGAGATGAGTGTCCAGGGTGAAATAGGCTGATCGAGTTGCGCTTCTAATGAGAGATCCAAGAACTGTTGAATCGCAGTACTCTCTGTGAGATGTAGATCCGGAATTTAAACTGAAAGAAAATGGAAACGTCGACATTGAAGAGCCGCCGCCGTTTGAGCACTCATTCGTTAGGTCACTCGGGTTCCTTTGGGGGGTAACATAGGTGGGAATTATCTTTAACAGACAAATTAATGCAAATCTGTTTTTGATAAAGGACCAAGGGCTCCGAGAAATGGTGGTAAACGGGCTGGCGTATACTTATGCTGCGAGTGGACAAGGTATAAAAGGTGTCGGATACGCAGTTATCAGGGGACAGGTCATTGATGTGTATGTTAGAGCATTGAGAGCGGTGTGGCTCGTAATGACGGCTCTGGCATTGCATTGTTGGGACTTTTATGTGTACCTTTGAAAAACAGATGGAACTGAAAAATTCACATTCTACTGACTTTGGACTAGAGGAAATAGAGGTTCAAGAGGAAAGGAATGGCCGTGATGAGAATGCTTGACTATTACACCAGCATTCGTACTATCGAGTTGTTGTTCATAAGTCATAATCTCAAGAACTTTGAATTTTTCCTTGAACATTCGTTTGGCTCAGTGGGAATGCTGAAGTAACTACCCTCAACCAACTGTGAGGCGTATTTGAGCTCATTATTCCTCGTAACTCTCTCCAAGCTAACACTGCTGGCAAGATACTAATTTCATAATGCCTATTGAACTAATAGTCAATAAGGAGTAGCTTCTAAAAGTTGCGTAAGTATGAGATTAGAATAAAATAGTTAGCTAATTTAATCCTATAGGGATTTTCATTCTAGATACACTCTGAATGCCAGAAAAGATAATTGAAAGTCTTGTTACAGCTTTATTTATTCATTCCCCATTCTCCTACATCTTTCGATTCTCGTTGCTTAGAAAATAGAGAGCATGTTCGAACATAATTACTATACGGCGGTATATCAAACTACAAACCAAGATCATAAGTCCTAGTATCTTATTGTCATCTATTTAATATTGCTTGAGAGCCCAAATATTATCTCCTTCCATCGAGGAGAGACGGGGGTCACTCACGGTTCACTTTGAAGCAACTTGAAAATTCATGATTATTGTAAATTTACACGCATAATCATGATAGCAAAATTTACATTCTCATGCCTCTCACTCTTGACATCTCAATTCGCCCTAACTACATATTTCAAGCTACATCCCTTTGATCCCTTCGTAGATCTTCTTTGCATTACCACTCGCAACTATCTTCACTCTCTCAGATTTCTGATCATATACGTACGGGAAATGGATTGACTCTCTGGAAGATAGGTATATTATGTAATAAACAATAAGGTGAACGTTACTCCTTAGCGATCAACATTCCAAGACATTCCCAACGCCGAAAGTTGTCACTGTAGTATGAATCGTTCTAACCTATACAAACCAAACAGTTCTCTTCAGATATCCCACGATCGCTCTACTGTATTGATTTTCCTTCGGGCGTACATTTTAAGAAGTGTAGTATTGAGCAAGCATCAGGGTAGTGAATATTCTCACGTGATATCACGTTCCAAAACTTATTGTTGCACATCGGAAAAAATGCGCTCGCTTTCTCATTGGTCAACGGTTGAAAGCTGAAAAAACACATTTTTTTATTGGATTTTGATTATGAAAATAGGAGCGCTGTGATGCGCATTGAAAGCGCGTTCTGATGGTGTAGAGAAGTGCAGGATTTTCTGATGTTGAAATCTGGACTATTTTGTTGGACGATATCGTGAGTGGATTTGGTGGTTTGGTGGTGGGAGATTGCAAGTGTGATCGATGGACAGACAGCTACCACCTTCCGAAGCTCGGGATCTCTAGACAGATGCCAGTAATTGAAAATAGAGTCGGCTGTTGGAAGTGATGATAGATAATTACACCAACGGTGAGGACAACTTGCAAGTGGTTTGGTGTTTTCGTTAGTCATGACGTCATATCGAGAGTATATTTTTTGATTCTTTATTTTGATCCAAATATACTAGATCTCTGGTGGATGTATGAACTTTCTTTCGTCGGTAACATAGGGTTTAAGGATAATAAGCAGCAAAGTTTGAGAAAAGAAGGAAGTAAAACGGAATCTAGTGTATCGTCTTCATGGGCACAGAGTATTGTTTAGTGATAGAAGGGTGGCTGGAACCAACTTACGAGGATCTTACACAACCTTGGAAACATGTTTGTATTAGGGTTCAAGGTTCTCTGAGATAGATAACTTTGAGTGGGTGAAAAAAAAATGGTTGAGACGAAAAGTGAAAGTGAATAGACGACAATCCGAATTCACCACAGCCCAGAGTCTAGAACTCGAACCGAGAATTTGTTGCACGTCTATAAAATTTGACCCATTCTCGAATTTGACGTAAGCAAGCTGAATGAACCAGTAAAATCACGAGCGCAAAGAAGAAGTCATCTGCAGAGCCAATAGATTTACAAGCGCAAATAGAATCGATTAGCCCTACTTTAAGGCGGACAACTGCCAGGGAACTAGCGGGAATATTCCACGCTTGGGCGGATGTCATTGCACTGCCAGAACTATGAGTGGCTAGATATATTTAGCGATCTCTTTCACTAAAGTGAATCGTCTGAAGTCCGGCTTCTGGGGATGGTTTTGTTGCATATCTACAAATTTGATCCACTCTCGAATTTGACGTAAGCAAAGAGAAAGAGCCAATGGACTCGCGAGCGCAAAGATAGATGCTATCAAGGAGCCAATAGATTCTTGAGCGCAAACTCAGGTCTCGAAGGCTTGTTGGGGCTTAGCTTCTGTAGTGGGTGAAGAAGCATGGGATGATGGGACGAGCATCCTTATCTTATACACTACGTCACTAGTAAAGAACGGGTTGGGGTCAGCATTCACCATCTATAGCTAGTACATTAGATGCGAATATGTGGATATGAGGTATTCACTGCTTATCTTCCGGTTTGGTACAAACATGAAAACAACCTATCCAATATAATTCTAGTAGTCGATAGTTAGAACATGTTAGTAAAACAATGAGGCCACTTGCGAGAGTAGCATCAATCTACAAAGATAAATCAATAACTTGAAAGGGACGTAAGGTAGATCTAGATTCGAACTAGATCACCAATCTCATCTTTTGACATGTTTGTTTAACTTTGTATACTCGCAATGAAAGCGGTTACGAGACCTCGCGCGCAAGCTCAGTACAGATGTAAGACCTATGAATCTGATTAATGAGTTTATGAACACTTCTATCTATTACTAAAATGAATATATCCCATCTTGGCAACACACGCAATCGAATGATCATCCAATGTACTAGCAATAAAAACTAGCTTAAAAATAACCTTAAAGCTTGGACCATGGAGCTTTCTAGAGTCAGTACTTTCACTTCTAGAAGTGAACCGAGTAAAATCCAGATCCCAATCTAGACCCTCTGTCACGTTTTGTTGTATATCTGATCGATCTCGAAATTGACGTAATCAATTTCTGGGACCAATAGAAGAGCGAGCGCAAACTTTTAGGTTTGGCAGGA